CACACACACACACACACACACACACACACACACACACACACACACACAATTTATATGCATTGATTTTTATGGGCACTGTTACAAATGTGTAATTTTTGCAGCAATGTGTTGTATATATTCTTCTTTAAAATGCTATTCAATTTTAACCACTCTTACCTGATAAAACATCATGAGAACAGTTAACAATGGTAGTTCCAGGCTTTATCCAACTGACTGGAATCTCTTCTGGTTTGCTGCTACCTATCACCATCACATCTGCCTGATGCAGCTATGAATAGCCAAAATGAAAACATTACAGAATTAGGAATATTTAATACACTGAAAAAATAACATTCTAACTAGTCTAAGTATTCAATAATTATCCAGCAAACACCTTTTTCAGAAATGAATTAAATAAATCCAGACTAGTAAAAATTAACCAAAACTAACCAAAATTGGACTCATGAAAGTGGCAAAACAAAATGTGAAGGCAAAACACAAGAACATACACCAATAATTCCCTCAAAGAATTTCAACTAAAGAATTTTTCCTCTTAATTCATGATTATCAATTGAAACAATTTGGCTAAGATTAATAGAATGAAGAACAATACAAAGGATGATGGCAAAAATTCTAACAACAGACAAAAAACATGAGCTATTTTCTTTCTGCCCTATTTCTCCATCTCCAGTGGAGTTCTGTAACAATTATAAGAATCTACATACGATAAGGAAAAAACATCACAAGCACAAACAGACATAAAGATACAGTAAAGGGGAAAGGAAAGCCCTGAACTGCAATAAGAAGACAACACAGAAAATATTGAGGAACAGAAGAATACACAGATATGTAAATAAATGGCGAGTGTCACAAACTGACTTGTGACTGACACTACTCCTGCCTCTCTTTCTGTCAAATTTGCATCAATGCAGTCCTGCCTTTGTTGTACTGATGCAATCCTTGACATTTCTGCCAAGAAACAATCATTAAACATTCCAACAGGTCCATAGTTTTTAGCAAAAACCAGTGTCCAAGAGGGGAGGAGATGATGACTGTCGTAGAAATGGTAAAAGCTAAAAATGTTGTCTTCTCCATAGAAAAGATAAGAAAGGTCTAACCTTCCTCAGGGACTGGAATAAGGAATGAGCGTGGGAGAAAATTATTTGCCAGAGAAATAGCTGACAATCTGATTTAGATTTGAGATCTTTACAAGACTACAACTTATTACAAGGCGTTGTCTCATGACACCTGCTGCCTCACTGGGTCTTGCACAAACCTGTGGATGTATCCAAGAGCAAGCTGCTTAAATACCTTTGCAAAATCTAAGTCTTAGCAACTCTAAATTCATATTACTTTTTTCATTTTCCACTAAATGCACTACCTTCTGGCTTTCTAAACACAACAGCTGTCTAAACAGAGTCATTTAAGAGTGCACAACAGCCCAACAAGGCAGTAACTGTTGAATAATAAATGTATTAAAGTTGTGTGTTAGAATTTATGCATACAAGAGTGTGTTTGCTGAAAACAGAATCTAGAAAGATAATCATTTTAAATCCCCAGACTCCTGAGATGCACCATCTTTCAGGTGTTTAGCATTTTTAATTAATTAATTAGGTCTAATTTTTACATCTCATCCCATACCATACCCAAAATACACAGCACTAAAGAACATGAGGCTGTTTTTCTGTATCTCCCTGGATTTTCCATTGGAGGTTTCCCATTTACACATTTACCTAGCACTTCTTTTATCAGAAGACTACATGAACACAGGAAGGAGTAATTGCAATAAGAAACCAAATTTGCAGTTTATCCACTTCAGCATCCTGTGGCTAACACCAGCTAGATTTGAGATGTTCCACAGGAAAGCACAAGAACCCTACAGTAGGCATAGGCAGAAAAATGTGATTCCAATGCAGGTCTCACCTAACACATAGTAGTCTAGCAGTTGACTAAAGCCTTAAAGTATGGGGTATCAGCATTCCTTCTAAAATCTTTTGTTACTGACTCCTATAACAGCACAATAGTTGTAAACATCCTCTGTTAATGTTATCAGGACTCAACAAAAATCGTGACCCCAAAGGTTTCAGAGGTTAGCCACATGTTGTAAGTGGCTTTAGTTTTGAATTTTCTGCCTTTCAATTGCACTATGCTCATTTCCCATTCATTACGTTTATCTTGTCCTCTCACAGTCTTCTTTTTAAAGATAAAGTACCTAATTTTTTTTTGGTTTATGGTCACAAGAATTTTTTTCCATCCCTATAATTCTTTTTGTTATTCTCTGTCCCTCTAATTTTGCAATATCCCTTTGAAGACTGGACAATGACTGATGGAGTCAGAATTCCCAGTGAGACTGAACTATTAATTCTAAATATATTCCTGCATTTGCAATCATTCTACGCATCCTAATATTTGGATTGCTATTTTTAAACTGCAAAGATGTTAGTTATGACTTGAGAACATGGTCTGAAAAGTTATACGTGCAGACAAAACTTTTAGTTAGTTTTGATACTTATCCTAGGCTATGCACTTCTAGGTTTTTTTAGAGTAGTTTTCAAGTGGGTTATTTTAAACATGCTCAAATAATATGAAAATGAATAACTAATGATTATTTTTTTAAAAATTAATAGAGTCCTGCTAAATATATCTATCTACACACACACACATATACGTGAAACGAAAAACTAGTAAGGAAGTGACATTAGGCTCTACTGTAATCTGGGGTGGGGGGAGGTAGGAGGTTGGTTATTGATATATAATGGTACTAAGCTCTCTTGTGGAGTCAATAAAATGAAAATCCTAGTTTCTAAACTGGCAACTAAAACTTTGTCCTTCTGTGCAATACTGTTTGCTAAAGGAAGTTGATTTCAGGTATAATGTTTTGCTTTGGTGTCAGTGATGCTTGCTTTAGGAAATGACTGCTTCCTGTCCACAAAACAAGTTACTCTGATCAACTTGAAAAATGTTCTTGAGTGCAATTATAAATCAACTGCAGTCCTAACTTTTCTTCAAGGATACATCAATTAGACAGTCCATTAGCTCATCTATTACGTTTAAGTACTAAAATAGAAAAGAACAATCTAATTTGATGTAGGTTTACCTAAGCCTATTTTTGTGCAGTTGAGTTGGCTTCAGGCTTTTATTTTTATTCCTTGCATTTTTCTTTTAAGATTTCAAAACTGTCTCTCTCCATAAAAAATGGTAGTACAGAACATACACTTCCTCCCTTAATTGGACAGACATGCCAATATTGCAAATGAAGTGAAAGACAGTAAAGGAAGCGTGTAAACTCAGTCTGCCTCCAAACCACAAACTGCTTTTTCTCCGATTTGAACTCTCTGCTTTCTCTTCCTTGGGCTTTTAACTGCCAGATAATCACCCAGCGCT